TGTTATAGGGAATGAATGAGATACGAGGATAGGAAATAGGTAAATGCACCAGGACAAAAGGAGGAGTGATAACACGACCGTTCGGCAGGAAGCTGATCAAGGGATTGACGGTATTTGTCTAACGAATTGTAGCCTCATGCTAATGCTTCTTTATATCATCATTCTCAATGCAGAGCCAAATCATGTTTGCAATTTATGAACATGAAATTTGCTTATGAGGTCTGAATATAAAAAGTATTAGATAAGTATATGTACTTATAATTATTACACTCAATTTCGTTCACATGTGCTTACCCCTGTACGAACGCCTATGCATAAGTATTTCGACTTTCCAGATATGTGATTTTGGTCTGGCTCGAATTACTGATCCCGAATACGATCAATCAGGTGTGCTAACTGAGTACGTTGCCACAAGGTGGTACAGGGCTCCGGAGATTATGCTCACTTCAAAGGTCTACACAAAGGCGATCGACATCTGGTCTGTTGGCTGCATTCTTGCCGAGATGCTTAGCCATCGAGTACTCTTTCCTGGAAAACATTGTATCCTTTACTCAGTTAACTATGACCTGTAAGTTATTATTTTGTGTTTTTATATTGACTAGCTACCGATGAAAGTTGACCTTATGTCATAATATTCATGTTGAACATATTTCGATGCCATCATGGCCTGTTTCCATAAACATGGAAGAGAAACTACTCTCACTGGAGTTTCGTTTTTATGCTACATATATCTCTGCGCTTGAATCTTTCTAATAAAAACCCTGAAAAACCGTTTAGTCTCTAAAATGCCATAGTTTATTCCTTGCATTTTCATGACTTTTCATTTATCCATTTTATCACATGTTCTTTATGCTCTGCTTTAATATGCTGACATTTTATGATTGTTCTAGTTATGCATATAAAAGTTGCGTGAAAGTTTAATCTCTGTTTCTATTATCCGTTTATAAGTAGGGTTTCGAGACTACCAGCAAATCAGTTATATGAGATGTATTCATCCTATTTCGTTTAAGGTGATTAAGTACTGATAGTTGAATCTCCCCACAATGAAATGAATAGAGCTGATACTTCAATTAACTTTCTCACGGCCTTGCTTTCCCAAAAGATGTTATCATCCAGGGTGGACTGCAATTTCGACTTCGCATAGGTCTTACCAACACCCCCAGCGAGACTCGAATCATGTCAGGTTTCATATAACAGATTTAGCAGTAGTTTCGAAGCCCTAGTAATAAACGAAATATAAGTAATATAGTCGGTTGTAATGGCAAATATAACATTGCTTCATCGACAAACCCTACCAAAGAATGTAATATGGGAAGACGCCTGACCTTCCGTGAAATTCATATCTATTTTATGACCCTAGGGCACTCGTGGAAATGTGGCCTAATGGTTAATGTGTCGAGATCACATGCTGCACTGTTATGGTTCGAGTTCCGCTGGAAGTGTTGATAAGCTTTGGGCGAGGTCAAAACTGCGGTCCACCCTGGATGAGATTATCTTTCGGGAAAGCAAGGCTATACGAAATTAAACAAAAGCGTCAGCTCTACTCATCTCATTATGGGGAAATTCAATTACCACATTAAACGAAATAGGAGGAATACATCACATTTCCATTATGTTTTATGAATTTTTAGTCAGCTTGTTAAAGTCCCTTTTACTCATATAACTAATTCAAACAATAAGTACATTTTAAAGGTCCTGCATTTTAGATGAGCCTGATATCACGGATTCAAGTCAGGACAGAGTTTTTGGGCTTGGTTTTTTTATTATTTAACATAGCTACTATGGGTCAGCGAACTGGAGAAAAAACGATGATGTGTAGACTATTTAACTGTGTTGCTGAATCAATTATTCCATTTCTTCATGGTCATGTCTCGTTTACACTAATTTGTGATAAATTGGCTTTTTTACAATGATATACTTGTTCCCCTTTGTATTTGATTGACATTAAGGCATATCAAAATTTGGCAGGGCGAATTTGAGTCATTATGTGTGAGGCAAACCGCTTATTATCCATATAAAAACTTACTTATTCTTGGTGATTTAAAGACTAATAGTGGAGTTTTCTCCTAAGTATATGATTAGGCCTTATGATACGATTGTATTTCATTTAGCCTTATTTTCAATGGAGAGTATGTTGAAATTGTATAGTTCGTGATGAAAAACGAATAAGTAGGAGGATAGAGGAGAAAGAAGGAACTGCAGCAGGGCAACTAAAAGGGCTATATGGAGTTATTCAACCAACGTTTAGTCGCTAGTGCACATGAGGCTCA